TTGAATCTGAAATTTTATTTGAAGAAGAGGCAAAGATGTATGCTGTATTTTAGTTCAATATATTTAATGCAAAAAAGGTATTCAAACTCCAAATATTAAGGTAGGGGTGTTTCGGCGATTTTGTAAGTGATGTAAGATTTATATATTTTCGTTTGTGTTAAACTTGTTATTGTGATACTCATGATGGAATCACCGTTTGATGGTTTACACAAGATATAAAGAGATGATTATGATAAATGAAATAGGGTTATCAAAAATCTACAAGTAAGCTGACTCACTGATCACCAATTCACTTGAAATTGATGGTGATGCAATCGAACAAAGTTTGTATTTCTGAAAATATATATTTTTACCATTTACTTAAGTGCTTCCTACTGAGTATTATTTATAGTACTCATCCCTACAACCAATTTTACATGTTAAGATCGAGGCATGGCAATGGTTGGCATAGTGGCAAGTGTTCGGCGATCTGAAATGCTTTCAATTTCTAGTAAAAATTTCCATTTATGTAAATATTTTATTGGTACTTAGATGACATATCTTAGAAATGATTTTAATGTTTATTTTGTTTAGTCTTATATACAATGCATATTAACTAGAATTTAGAAGTGTTGGATTGACTATGTATGAAGTTTAATTTATACTGGGTTAAAATTTAAAATTTTGTCCTCCTATTTGAAAATTGTATAACTTGGGCTATAGTGCATTTTTTAAAGTAAAATTATGATATTTGAAATTTTTATGAGTCTTCTAATAGTGGCCTTTGGAATTTCTCAAAAATATTATCTAAAAAAAAAGTTATGCCTGTTTTAGTAAACTACGTCGTGTCGAATCCGAGTTTTCTATCTAGCGTATTCGAGCAATATTTTCGTACTTCAAAGTTTATCTTCGAGATCCCAAATTTTTATATGTGGTACATATATGAATGCTTTAACCCCTGTAAAAATTTCATAATTTTTAATAGACATTTGCTAGGCCAAATATTTTTTTCCCGCTATTGTTAAATTTGTAATTACTGAATTGCCTCCAAATGTTTTCCAAAATCAAATTTTGCCTTAATTGCCTAAGTTTATATGAATAAATATCTCCCATTATATTTTTATATGTTTCAAAAACCAAAAATTTCTGATTTATAAAACACTTTGGCTAACATAAAAGGGATCGAACCAAAGAAATGAATGATTATTTTTAACACTTCGGGTTGCGAGAATTCGGTGCGTTACAACTAGGTATCAGAGTATGGTTTATTTTCTGTAGACTTGCAATAGAAACCATGTCTTAGGAGTGTTGTGTCACATATAAAGTTGATCAAATTTCTTTTAATGAGGATCCTGAGCACTATGCTCGCCATAGCCGCGCCATGCCAATTTTAAGGTAAAGAAAGTTTTATGAATATGCTTTGTATCTATGTGATGATTATGAGAAAGTTTATTTTAAATACAACATTTGAAATGTATGTATGAATATCAATATATGTTGAGTTGAATACCTTTTGTGGATAATCATTATTTTGCAACGTATTTTGAGAACGTGACTATATTAAATGTTCATTTAAGTCCTCAAGAATTAATTAAAACTTATTAGATATCCACTAATTGGACCTTGAATAACTGGTAGGAAGACGAGTTCATTGATGCCTAGTCGATATGAGATCATGAGACAATATGAAGGTACTGGTGGAATTTAGCTCACAATATGCATGAGCACATTTGGGAAATGCTTGTAAGGTGGAGAGAGGTGAAACAACTAAGGTATATGGTCACTGGTCGTTGAGCTCCCCGCCTTCTTATTGATACCTTACCAGAAGAGTGGCTGGAGACTACCGAATCGTTTTATGATTATTTATGGAGAATTACTGTGCCTACCTTACCGCGAGAGATTAACTATGAGACCTTTTGCACAGAGCTAATTGATCAGTGGAAGCTGGCCCGACTTGCGATCCCTGAAGATGATAATGTATCTACTGAGATGTACATTCATGATGATGCACCTCCACCTGTTTAAGACGATGGGACACAGCCTTCTAAGAAACCTAGGGTTTATGGAGGCTGGATTATTGATGCCGATGAATAGAGGATCAAAATTTTAGTAGATTTTACTAGGTTTAATTGTTATTGATGTCTAGTAGGATTCCTTTTGTTTTCCCGTTGATTAGCTCCGGACGCTCTGTTATTGCTTTGTATTCCTCTTGAAGGATTCTGTTTAGATAATAATAAAATATTTTGAGCTTTAAATCTTTTCTATATATTGTGCAAGTATTGTCGACTTCTCTAAATGAGATTACATTTATGATGGTATAAAGGAATATGGAGCAAGCGAGGACAATTAGGGAATTAAGGTGAGAGATTGATACTTTAAAATAGGCCTTCGCTGCTCAGGCTACACCTTCAGCTCCACCAATCCCACCAGCACTGCCGATGCCACTAGCATATCCACATATACCATCTATTTTGACGATAAAACAGTTTCGCAGGTATCGACTCTCTACCGTCGATGGCGAAAAAGACACCCTGGCAATTGAAGAGTGGTTGCATACTATTGAGAAGATCTTTCGACACATCTCTTATCCAGAAAATCAAAAAGTATTATGTGCTGAGTTTA